GTGAGTGCCTTGGTCCCTGAGGCCTAACAACAGTCAGAGGGGGGTTGTAGGTGGGTTCTCCAGGAAGCAGACTCTAAGACTCAAGTTCAGGATGTTTATCAGGGAGTGCGCTGGAGATTGGCACCTGTGGAAGGGAGGAGGAGGAAGCAGGAAGAGGCACAGGAAGAGGTTGAGCTGTGATGTAGGTTGGACCACCTCAGCCAAGCCCACCGGGAGCTGAAATGATGGCTCATTGGCGTTGTTCCAAGTTAGGCAGAAACCGCCACGCCTTTACATCCCCAGACCCACCGGTCTCAGGATGTGGCTGCTCCTCAGAGGGTGAGGCTGCTCTCTGAAGCTGAGGCTGTCCCTGAACGAGTCAACAGCTCAAGGGACTACAACATTCTGAGAAGCTGGGGCAACAAGTCCTTCCTTGAAGGGGGATCTGGGAAGTGCATCTCTGTGTCCATCCAAGATGAGTATTTGGTAATGAGGAGGACAATGAAATTCTTGTTAATTTTTTTTTTATCACCCACCAACAGAAAGGGGAAAGACTTCTGCATCCATGACAAATTAGAGAATTTTTTGCAAAGATCAGTACAGCAGGTGCCACTGAGACAACCGGAACAATCTGCTATTAGTGCCACATACAATGAAATGCTGCTGCAGAAACTTATCATGCACAGGCAAGCAGAAGAACCCTTATCAATTATTCCAGTTAGAAGGGTTATTCTGTGACGTGGGTTAAGGAGGAGGAGGAACAAAGAGAACTTTCAGGAAATATCCCAGAACATTGGCTGTTAGCCCTGGGGAATCCTGCTTACATTTGGGAAAGAGAGTGGAAGAGGGTACGACTCAGCTGCCTGAGGATCCCGATATCCAGATTCCATGAGAGTGGGAATAGGCAGCTTTCCCACTTCCAGAGAGGTTCTCCTTAGGATGGGCCCTTAGGACGAACAGGTTACCAAGTTTACTAATTTGTTACAGGTGGGGGGTATCAGTCAGCCACAAATAGGACAGTGACGACCAAGCAGCACATTTCTGAGTTCTGTGTGGGGTGGACCACTGCCAGAGACCCAGTGACTCAGGGCTTTGTGCAGAGATGGCCAGGGATCCCCCAGCCACACACATCAGAGATTATTAGCCTGATGAAGAGTGCTCTGGAGTAGGGCCGCAAGACTGCTGCCAGCAATACCCATTCGAATTTCTGAAGAAGATAAGACAGTTCTAAGCAAACAGTTCCCTTGCTGAGAAACAAACTCTGGCCATACAGAAGATAAGCCTTGAGAAAACGTCAGAAAATGGGTGCAGGGCCCAAGATGTGATCTCTCTAGACATACGAGAGTATATATTCATATGAAGCCACTGGCACAGCAGCTAGTGGGAGGCACAGACCTGAGGTAGAGGGTTAGAGACAGCAAGGAGCTACCTAATAACACTTCTTCTGAGTGTGTGTGTGTGTGTGTGTGTGTGTGTGTGTATGTATGGAGGTGTACAAATCAATCTCTCTCTGGCCCTCTCCAGTGGTATGTTCTTCTCCTCACCCTTCTGGGTGGATGTGGGATGGGTTTCCTTCTTGTTACTTGATTACTCAGTGCTATTTACAAACCATTTATTTTTTATTTTATTATTTATAAAAAGGGAGCTCCTTTTTTTCTCAGCTTCACCTTTTGCTTTGAATCTGATGTTAGACTACGTCACTTGCTACTTTCCAGGCTACACTCATCTACCAGCCTCCAGGTCTTTTCCTGAAATTCCTTGAAGATTGTTGCTCCTGGCTCTCGCCAACACTCTTCTGGTCACGTATCTTGGTGATTTCAACAACCTCAGGAATAATCCATCCAGTGCTCTTGCCCTCATTTCTATGACCTCTTCTCCAGTAATCTTGTTCTCCTACTCCCTCCCTTGGTCATACCATAAACTTTGACAGTACCAATATCTGCAGTTTCAAGCATCCCACTCTTGGATCACCACCTCTTATTTTTTCAGTGCATTCCTTCTAGTATCCTGCTCTAACAAACCTTAGATCCCCACTGGAGCCTACAATCTCTTGATCCTACAACCTTTACAAGGTCCCTTACCCACTTGTTATCCTTTCCCATATTACCTATCTTAAATTCCATGGTCAGTCATTTAATCACTCCCTTGCGCTCAACATTAACTCTCTTGCCCCTTTCTTGTCTGAGAGTAATAGTTTGGTAAAACCTCAACCCTGGTTAAAAGTAAAATTTCTACCTATGGCTATGCCTGTAACCATGAAACTGAAGGAAAACACTCAACCATGCTGACTAGTCTCACTTTAAATTCATAATCATGAACCTCACATGGGTCCTTAAGGCTGTCTGGCAATTGTACATGTTTCTAGTTCATACTTCTACTCTCCTGGACGACTATTTTATACCTTCTTCAAACCTCCAACGTCCCTTCCTCTATTTTATTAATTGATGAACTTGCTTTCTATTTGTATTAGTTATCTCTCTCTGTGTAACAAATTACCTCAGAATCTAGCATCTGAAAACAACAAATATTAACTCATACAGTTTCTGGCTGGGTCGTCTGTCTCAGGGTCTCTTATGAGATTGCAGTCAAGTTGTTGGCCAAGGCTATATAGTCTCTGAAGACCTGACTGGGGCTGGAGGATCCACTTCCAAGATCATTCACCTGGCTGTTAGCAGGAGCCTTGAGTTCTTTGCCATGTGGGCCTTTTCACGTGACTTCCCATGACATAAATGGCTTCCCCCAGAGGAAGTGATCTGAGTGAGAATGAGAGTGAGAGCAAGAGTAGGAGATGGAAAGAATGAGAGTGCACGCTGGAGAGAGAGAGAGAGAGAGAGAGCACGATAGAGAGAGAGAGAGGACACAGTGTCTTCTATAACCTCATCTCTGAAGTGACATACCACCCCTTCTGCCATATTCTATCTGTCACACAGACCAACTCTGGTACAGTGTGAAAGGGGACTACACAGGGTGTGAATACCAGGAGGTGGGGATCATCAGAGGCCATCTTGTAGGCTGGCGACAATTCTGTTTTACAGAGAAAACAGAGGAATCAGAAAAGAACTTCCCACTGCCATATTACCCAATTACCAGTATATATTCTATTTTCACTGCTAGTGTTATAATGAACTCTCTCTCTCCTGCTATCTAAGGCCAATCCTTCCAATTGTTCACTAGATCCTGTTCCCTCTTGCCCACTTAAGGACATAGATACAAAAATTCTCCTCTCTCTCTCCTGCGTTGTCAGTTTTCTTTTGTTTACTGGACAATTCCCATCAACAAAACATATGTGCTGCAATATTAAAGAATCCTCCTATGATCCTATCTCTCCTTTCAGGTACACATTTCTCTGTGTCCCTTTACAATAAAACTCATTGAAAGAATTGTCTAAAATGACTGTCTCCAGTTCTTCCTCACCCTCTCTTTTAAGTCTACCCCATCAGGCTTTTGCTCTCAAACTACTCTAAAAATACCGCTCTTATAAAAGTCGTCTATGACCTCCATATTGTTAGATCCAATGGTAAATTCTCAGTCCTCATCCTATTTGACCTAACAGCAGAGTTTAACATAGGCGGTTGGTTCTCTTAAACAAAACACATTCTTCACTTGGCTTTCAAGGTATCACACCCTCCTGGTTTTCTTCCTTAGCCTACTGGCTGATCCTTCCCAATCTCTTTGCATTTCCCTTTTCTTTCCAGCCTCTTTAATGTTGGAAAACCCCAGGGTCAGTTTCTCGGCCAGGCAGGCACCCACCCTGGAGTGATTGTACTTGCTGTTCCTTTTGCCTGAAACACTCCTTTGGAAAACTCTCCGGTGAAAATTAAAGTAGCTTGTTCCATTACCTCATGGAATTTTGCATTGGAGTCTTTGCTCAAAAGTACCTCAGTGAAGTGTTCTCTGGTCATCCTATCTAAATTTGCATCTCCCCTACCCCCCAACAGACTTTTTTTTTTTTTTTTTTGGTACGCGGGCCTCTCACCACCGCGGCCCCTCCCGTTGCGGCGCACAGACTCCCGACACGCAGGCTCAGCGGCCACGGCCCACGGACCCGGCCGCTCCGAGGCACGTGGGATCCTCCCGGACCAGGGCACGAACCCGTGTCCCCCGCATCGGCAGGCGGACCCCCAACCACTGCGCCACCAGGGAAGCCCCCAACACACTTTTAATCCTCTTTCTCAGCTTTTACTCTACAATGCTTATCAGCACCAGACACATTTGTTTACTTATTCATTAGTCTATTTGGTTCCTTCTCATTGTCAATTCCATGAACAAGGGATATATGTCTATTTTGTTCACTGCTATATATTTCCAGTGCCTAGAACAGTGGTGGTATATAAAAATCTCTCAATTATATATTACACGAACGAATGAGTATTCCACATGGATAATAGCGAAGTGTCCGAGAATTATAGCAAAGCTTGGAAGCAGACAGGGAGACCACTCACGAGGCTGCGATGTTTATATATAAGAACAGGTATGAAAGAGCTCCGTTAACGTAGCGAGGTGTACAAACATCAGTATGATTTACTGTTGGCTTAGTTCGTTCCTCAAGAAAGCCCTGCCAGGCCCGCCTTCTCCCATCCTTTTCCCGTGCTTCCCTCAATTGGTCCCCTGCCCTGCCCAATCAGCTCTTCGGCCCAACATACTTCTTTTCCTGAAGGATGTGGGATGGTCCCAGCGCCGGGACACTCGAGGCACGGCCAGTGTGCGACACTTCCGCCCGCCTGTTACCCAGCGCCCACGCGGACTCACCCGTGCCCCACCAGTTCCACGCGCGTTTATAGGTCCCGCCCACACAGCGAGACAAAGCGGAAGTGACGAACCTCTGGAGCGCGAAACCCCGCCCCTCACGCCTTTCCCGTCTCCGGGAGGTGACACAAGCCCGGAAGAGGCAGATACAAGGCCGCCGAGGGGCGGGGCGGGGCGGGGCGGGGCAGCCTCCTCCAAAGCGGCGGTTTACCGAAGGCGGTTCCTTTGGTGTCAGTGGTAGCTTGAATCCGTGGCGAACCGCGATCGATACTAGGCCGGTGCAGTCTCAGCAGGAGTGGGACCCTGAGGCTTGAGAAACAGGCTTTTCTTTGGTCCGGAACTCCCCGGCGTTCAGCGCTTCCCCCCATAACCGGACACCGATTATTCGGACTCTTTGCCTCAGACCCAGGTTCCCACCCCGCACCCTCCCAGCCCCCTTGCCCTCCGGCTGCTACGCTCTTTCCTCCCTTTCCTGCATCGCTTTGCCGCCACTGGCACAATCTTCGTTCTCTCATTCAGATTCTTGTTTCTCCCCCTTCTTGTCCCTGTTCCTTTCCGAGAGCGATCTTTAAACATTTCCTTCCTTTATTTCTTACCCCTTCTTTTCCCTTTTTTCCTTTTTCCTTCCTTCTCCAGTATCCTTGTCAGGCTACTGCCTCCTCCAAGGCTTCTCTCCTTTTCAGAAGCCTGTGGCATACGTGTGTTAGGGGGTTGAGCTTTTAAGGCGGTCGTTTGAAGATTTTAAGCTTTTCCTCTCTCCTAACCAGGAGTCATAGATGCCAGGAAGTATGGCCCCCATCAAGAAGCTTCGAAATACCACAAAGTTGCCCCTGGCTTTAAACCCCCTGAAGAGCAAGGACGTGTTGGCAGTGCTGGCTGAGAGGAACCAGGCTATAGTACCCGTTGGGGCATGGGTGGAGCCTGCCCCGCCAGATAGTTCAGCAGTCCCGGCATCTGTGAGTGTCAGTTTGATGCAAGTATGGTGGGGTTCTTCCTCCATCTTTCTTTTTATTAGCCTTCTCAAATCCCTGGTGCTCAGATAAGATGAACAGTCTGGGGATGCCGTTTCTATTCTGTCATAAATAGATATGTTCTTTCATTAGGATTATAGAACAAATATGTATCTGCCGAAACTTGCTGCAGCTTTAGTCGGCATAATCAAATATTTATTACCTATATATATTTCAGTTTGCTTTGCAAACCCTTGATTGCTTTCTATGCACAAGACATAGGCACTGTCTTCTAAACACTCTACAGTGTAGTAGGGATGACGACCACAGTTAATGTAACATTGATTGCTTAAAGTTTATGGTAAATTTTGTAATGGAGATTCAGTAAGGTTCAGATGCAGTGGGAGAATAAAGGAGAAAGAGATTAATTCTGATTGGGATTCCGAGAAAGTTTAACTGTAAATTCCATGAGGACAGGGATGTTGATGTTTTGTTCATTCCTGTACTGGCATATGGCAAGTCTTCAGGATATAGTTGTTGAATGAGTAAATGAGGTAATATAGTTTGTGTTAATCCTTAAAGAATGGAAGTGCTGTAAGTACAGGTGAAAGGGAAGAGCATTTCAGATGAAGGGAAACTTTTGCAAATTGACATACGTGCCTGTCAGACAACTCTCTTACGTAGCTATTAACACAGGAGGACAATTTTGTAAGATTTTTTTTTTCCTTTTTGGTAAGAAGATTTTTGATTGTCTTTCACCAAACTGTGCTCCTTAGCTATTTGTTCATATATTATTGAGGTTCATTTATTATTATAAATACCACATTATATTTATAGTAAGTTGTTTACATATCTACTTTTCCTGATGGAGCATGTAGATATTTATGGAATGCACAGAATGTTTGAAGATCTTCAGAATGTATAGACAAGGTGCTGAACATGAGTTGAAAAGTATGAGGTAGGTTCTCTTAGTGGTCCTTCATCTCAGAGAAGAAATGAGACATGTTTCAAGTAAATGTTAAATAGCAGTGCAATGGCATGTATTCATTCATTTTATTTATGTCTGTAAGGATGTATATACATAAGCATTCATTTATTACTATGCTATTTCCAGAAAGGATTTTGAGTCTGAGTAGTATATGATTAAGTGCTAAGACTATTATAGCACTTAACGAAGAAAGATATGGTTTTGAATTGATGTGACCCAGGAAAGTTTAATGAAGAATTTGGATAATCAGAAAGAAAGAGGATGATTCTCCAATTAAGGAGAATGGAGAGAGTAGGAAGTAAGCAAGATATATTTAGGATTTAAGGGTAGGTTAGATTGATTGCAGTGGAAGGCCTAGTAGGGGCATGGTGGTTGATAGGATTGTGGAAAATAGGAGTGGTAGGGAACCACAGGAAATTTTGGAGACGGGATTGACTTCATTCATGGTTTAATATTTACAGATTAATTTCATGATCAAATAGTGTTTTGCTTAGATTAATTGCTTTAACATTTTTTTAAGTTCTATTTTTTAAAACTATTTATTTATTTATTTTACTTATTATTTTTGGCTGCATTGGGTCTTCGTTGCCACGTGTGGCTTTCTCTAGTTGTGGCGAGCAGGCTTCTCATTGCGGTGGCTTTTCTTGTTGTGGAGCACAGGCTCTAGGCACACGGGCTTCAGTAGTTGTGGCACGCGGGCTCAGTAGTTGTGGCTTGCGGGCTCTAGAGTGCAGGCTCAGTAGTTGTAGCGCACGGGCTTAATTGCCCCGTGGCATGTGGGATCTTCCCCGACCAGGGCTCGATCCCGTGTCCCCTGCTTTTGTAGGCGGGTTCTTAAGCACTGAGCAACCAGGGAAGTCCTGCTTTAACATTTTTAAAGGTGAAGGAGCGATTGGCTCCTGAGGGACAAATTGGGTTGTAATGGTAACAATTTAGGCATGAAGTATAGCACCAAGATTTTAGTGGTAAGTAATGTAGAGGGAAAGCCTTGAAAAGGGGATTGAAATGGAAATGAAAAGGGATAAATGTAAGAAACATCCCAGAAGAATCAGTAAGATTTGGTACAAAGGTATTTTGGTATTTAAATTATTGACACCTGTTTTTAATTGCCCATATTATGATATCTTTATAATATCAATAGCATAAAAATATCTAAAAACGACCAAGATTTTCTGTGTTAAAAAGAATCATCACATATTCCCATATATCAACTCAAAATATTAAAGTCTTGGAGCATGTGTAAACATGTCTCCTTTCCTTCATTTAAAAAATTCTGATCATTACCAGTCAAAGGCAATTTGATCAAGCATCTAATAGAACTCTTTATCACTTTAGCATATACAGCCTGGGGAATTCCCTCTTATTAACAGACGTAGGTCTTGTCAGCTCAGAACTTCTAAACCTTGGTTACCCTAAGTTCATGTCTGTGCTAAAGGGAAATGCCTAATCATTTTTGTCCTTAAGTTTCAAGGAGCCATCAGAATTCCTATAAACGCCATAGTTTGAGACTGCCCTTTAATTAAATTATCATCCAAGGGTACTGCTTTCCTATCAGCATATATAGCTATTGCATTGTTTTATAATTTATCTGATTATCTACTGTTGCGTAAGAAACCACTCTAAAACTTAATGGCATAAAGCAAACAATATTGTGTGTCAGGAATTTGCGCAGGACACAGTGGGGATGGCTTGTCTGCTCCACAGTGTCTGAGCCCTCAGTTGGGGTGACCCCAGTAGCTGATGATGTCTGGGACAACTTGACTGGATTCTGGCTGGTGGCTGGATTTCTTGGTTCTTCTTTATCTGGCATCTGCTGGGCTGTAATATCCTACATGGCTTTCTTACTCATATATCTGGCACTTGGGCTAGGCTGAGTAGAATGGCTGAGGGCTGGCTGGACATCTTCCTCTTTCCACATGGTCTCTCTGCTTGGCTGGTATGGGCTTCCCTAGGTGGAGGTTGCTTTATGACCTTGCCTGGGAAGTCATGGAGCCAACACTTGTGCCTCAGTCTATTGAGTATAGAGTCAGACTACATTCAGTATGGGAGATGACTACACAAGAGCATATATACTGGGAGGCTTGATTAATTGGGGGCAGAAGGGGAGATCATATTTGGAGACTAAGGACTATGTAATCTAACTATTAGTTCCACCATATATAAATTATCCGAATGTGTTCTTTGACTGTCCTGAGAAACACTTCATTCTATATTGCCCCTTGGATAGTCTATAGGGTGCAAAAAGGCTATGAAGAATTGGTAGTACAATTGAAACAGTACAGTTGTCCCTCAGTATCTAGAGGGGATTGGTTCCAGGACCCCCCTCTTCCCCCACTTCCCCCACCTGCAGACACCAAAATTCACAGATGCTCAAGCAGTTGTATAAAATAGCATAGTATTTGCATATAACCTGTGTACATCCTCCTGTATATTTTAAATCACCTCTAGATTACTTACAATACCTAATACAATGTAGATGCTATGTAAATAGTTGCCTGTGCTTGGCATATTTAAGTTTTGCTTTTTTGGAACTTTCTGGAAAATTTTCTTTTCGTCCATGGTTGGTTGAATCTGAGGATGAGGAACCTGTGGATACAGAGGGCCGACTATTTATTTTTGTTTAACCCAGTATTTCCCAAGTTTATATGATTCTGGGAACCTCTTAACATCCCATGGAACAAGTGTTTTCAGGTTCTGGTTGTCTTACACAATAGTGTTGCTAAGAAAAATATGTTTCTAAAATATGTTTCTATGGTACAATCTTATCTTTGGTTTACTCTTGAGATCCACAATTTGGAACCAGTCATGCACTTCAATAAGACGTTTGATAATCTCAAGGTGCGAGTAAAAGAGGGCAGACAGAGACAATGGGAGTAAAAGAAAGGCAGAATGGCTTAAATTTGTCTGGGTCTTGACTTAACTTGAGTCACTTGTTCAGGCTTTACTACATATATATCTACTTTGGAATTATTTTACTTAATTATTCATTGATATCTGTCTTGTACACTCTACTCGTATGGTACATACTCTTGTAGAATAGTTTATGGGATAGATTTCTTGGGAATTTTAATTTTAATTGGAACTTCAATTCATTTGATTTTGAGAATTTAATGACTGTCTGTGAAATAATTTGGGGCACCCCTCAGAATTAGAATTTGGAATCACTGCATTAGGAGAAGGGATAGATAGGAGGTATGATGATTTTATTTAATATGAAGATTCCTTATGGAAGAGAGACATAGTCAAGAGAAAAGCAGTACAGTACAGGGCATAAGTGTTGGAGTCAGAGAAACTTCTAGCTCTGCTACTTGCCAGCTATAGGATCTTGGGCTACTACTACAGATTAATCCTTCTGAGCCCCATTTCCTCATTTTTAACATAAGAGGTAAGAATACCTAGTATTGGAGGTAGTTTTGAAGATTCATTGATACAAGGTAGTTAAAGTGTTTATCTCATAATAGATCTTTAATAATGGTAACTGCTGTTATTATAATCAGTTTGTTATTCAAAGCACTTAGAGGAGGCAAACAATGATCAAGGACTCAAATGTGATAAAATGTTCCAGATTGTTTAGAATGTTTTGGAATTAATCAATTATATAAATATTGAGTACCTTTGTATTCAAGGCTCTGTGTTGTATACCATAGGGGAAACAAAGGAGAATTAAATACATTTCCTGCCCTCAAAGAATTCGTAATCTAACGGGGGAGTTAAGAAGTATTGTACTCAACGTTAATAAGAGTGAGAGGTACTAGATGGGTATTGGATGGTCTTGACTGAGTAGGCCTTTTCTAGACAGAGGTGGCAAGAAGGGCATGCTAGGTTAATAAATGAAGCCTAATTCTCATTTTATAATAAGACATAGTGGGTGAGTGGCGAGCAATCTGGTGTATCTGGACTATTTTACTCATTTTAGAAAATGTAACATAATGTAGGTTTGAATTGGTTCATTAAGAATTAATGAAGATACTTTTAGTTCTCAGTACAATGAAAAATTAAGATTTGATTTGAGTGCTCACAGATTCCAATTTTTAGTTTGTGATTTGGTTTAAGTTCTTGGTACTCACTAGCTACGTCTAGATTATCAGCTCTGAACTCCTGTGATTTCTTTACTGTACGGGGAATTTTGGGTTGTAGAACTGAATTATTTTTTCAGGGCTGTATTCTGACTGCTTTGTGTTTACAACAGAGTCCTAATGGGCAAAACGAATGGGACATGCAAGTTTATTTTCTGTCTTTCATCTTTAAAGACTTCAGCATATATGATTGAAGAAGAGCTAAGGGAACAGCTAAGAAAGAAACAAGAAGCTCTGAAGCGTTTTCAGAGACAAGTCAAATGCCGAGTAAATCAGCAAATTAGGCTGAGAAAAAAGCAACAACTTCAGAGGTCTTGTGAAGCCGTAAGTTCAAAAGTGAGCCTGAGTAAAGATTGAATGGGAAGTGTGCTTGTAATGAGAAATGCTATTAGGCAATGACAGAATCACTTTCTTTTGATTCCAGGCTTCGCATAATCTGATTTACTAGTGAGGGCAGTAGATTGTATATAGAGAAACTGTTGTTTCTGTTTCCTGTGTTGTTCTGATTCCCTCTTTTGCTTTCACCAAATAGTTATAAACAATGTCAGAGTTTGGGGTTGGGGTTTGAATTCTGGCTTTGCTGCCTACTAGCTTTGTGACCTTGGGCTAATTACTTAAATTCTCTCAACTATAGTTCTTTGTGTGTGAAATGGGGATATGATACTTGTTTCCCAGTGTTGTTTTGAGAATTAGATAATGTAAAATATTAGCACGTAGTAGGTGCCTGGTAAATGTTAGTTTCTTTACCAGCTAAAGTTTTCCCCTCCTTCCCCCCAACCCCGGTTTTAAAGCTTTTGGGCTGCTGGTAGACATTATTTGATTGCACTTGACTGGGGGAAGCTCACTCTTTCTTCCTTTGTGTAGGCAGAAAAAGAAGGCTCTATAGCCATGCACTCTTCAGATCCAGCAAACTTAACTCTTAAAAGAACGAGTGTTTTTCCAAACCATTTGAATGCTGCTATTGGAAGTGCTAGGTTACCTCCTTCCCGGAAGCTTGAGGATGGAATAGAAGATAGAGAGAATCAGAATGAACTATTCCAACAACAAGCCCAGGCTGTAAGTATATATTCATTTTATTTTATGTCTCTGGTTTTTTTTTAGGCTATGATGTAGAGATGAGGAGGTGTCACATTCAACTTTGCTTTTTGCCACCTCCTCTTTTTTTTAACCTTTGTAAAGTGGGGAATAGTGGGATGATGTTTATTTTTATATATATTTTAAATTTATATTTATTGGTCAGACACTTAAGAATCATTTAAAGAAAGGTGCCAAAGTGTTAGAGTTCAAAACTTATTAGAAAGAGCTTTAGGTCAAAGAATGTAGATTTTTCAATTATACTGAAATTGTGTTATGGGTAAGTTACTCTCAGTTTGTGGCATATGGACAAAAGATTATTTTTGTTTCTTTTTTCTGTCCCTCAATCTGATTATCACCATAAATTGATCTATAAGTCAAGTGATAATATAGTAAACTCTAAATTAACATATTCAGAATTTTTTAATGTAACTTTTTAATGACTCACTTTACATAACGAATATTTAAAAATTAACCACCATGAGTAGATTTATCCACTCAAATCACTTGATGCCATCTAATCAGTACCCCCCTCCACCCTGCATAATGTACCCAGGCTTTTGTCCAGTTGATCATATTCTTCAACTCTTCTGTGGGAATAATCCTTCATTTATCATTTTAAAATGTAATCCTAGGGTTAGTGAGAGGAGAACAAAAATGTGGAAAATTATGATTATGTGAAAATAAAAGTTGTGTGATTGCTGACATACTTCGTCATAAGTATGAAGCAAATCTGCTTATGCTGTTAGTATAAATAGGGAAAGCTTTATAATCACATGTTATGTTGAAATACTTATTAAAAAGATTTTTCTCTCTGCCCAAACTATGACTTTTTCTTGTCATTATTTGGTTTGTAGTGATCATTTTTATAATCATTTTTGTTTTTAAGATTATGAACAGTTTACTGAGCAAATATTTATTGAGCCAGGCACCGCAGAAATTGCAAAGGATAGAACATTGACTGAGACAGAATAACAGTCCTTGCTTTCATGCTACTGGTAGCTATAAATTCCATTGTAGTGAGGACTTTACTTCATTTGTATGATACATGAATAGGACACATCAGTCCACAGATATTTGAATATACTGTGTTTGTTAACCATTGTAGGGATACTAATGTGTGAAATAGGACCTTTCATGGGTTTATATTTCCAAGTAGAGAAACAAAGTTGGTAGACCCCCAATCTATTAGATAATAATATGGAGATATTTGCTGCATTGTTGATAAATTTGTGCAGTGGAAATTCAAAATTTTTTTAATTCCAAGGAAATAGTTTGGGAAGAATTCCTGGAAGAGGTGGAATTGAGCTGTGTATTTTGAATTGGTAAACTGAATTTAATTGGTAAATTCAAAAGAACTTTGAGATAGGAGGAATAGTAAAAAGTCTAGAATATGTAATGAGCTTAGTATTGGGTTGGCCAGAAAGTTCGTTCAGGTTTTTCTGTAACAGCTTACAAAAACCCAAACAAACTTTCTGGCCAACCCAATATATTTGCTAATAAGTAATGGAACCTTTCTAATTGATAGTGTACAGGGTAAAGCAACAGAAAATGAGGTTAGACGGGTAGGAAAAAATCATGTTATGAAAAGCCTTAAATGTTCCCCAAATCTAAAAAGTTTTTATACTGTTTTTTTCTTTTCTTTTTTTTTTTTGGCTGTGCCTTGTGGCATGTGGGATCTTAGTTCCCCAACCAGGGATCGAACCCGTGCCCCCAGCCGTACAAGCGCGGAGTCCTAACCACTGGACAGCCAGGGAATTCCCAACCCTGTTTTTTTCTTAAAAGAAGATGCACTACTGAGGAATGTTCAGTGACTTAAACTACTTTAAGCCTGTAAACTTTTGCCCATTCAACACCATGACAATAGATGCTCAAATTTTTTTAATCTTACTGTTTTTGTTGCAGTTTCTATCCACTAGATGTCGCCAAGAACTAGACAATGAGGCAGAGTTCAAGCACTAACTCCTTTGGGACAGTTTCAGGCAAACTGAGAGTTGGTCATCCTGTCTCTACATGCGTTCTCTCTTCTTTACTTATTTTTCTACTATTAACTGGTATTTTCATCATCACAGCTCCAAAACTTTGGCATACCTGAGGCTCCTTTAGCCTCTTTTCTCCAGCTTAGGATCTTTTAGGTCCAGCTCCTGTCTCTGACTTTTTCTCTGAACACTTCCTTGTTCATTATGTAAGGTAAGGAATCTTTATTGGCCCATCCTGCCTTTTTGCATTAGGTCTAGGTTACTGGCCAGCCTCTAGCTTGGTACTCCTACTTAAAGGTATATTGATGTACTACATTGGGGTTCATAGACTATGCTAAGGGCCTCATGTGAGTTTTTATGTGTATGGTATTTTTGTGGCTGTAGAAAAGTCTAACACACTGAAAAATCAATATGTTATCTTTTGCAAATAAACTATATTGTACTTGGATAGAATTCAACTTTGGCTAGATTTTTATGGCATTAACATACATTTAAAGACATAGGTATTAGGCCTCCATGGCAGTACAAGAGGTGAAATTCTATAAATGTTAGATCTCATCTATAGTCTTTTCCCATGACCTACATGTTATTACCACATTGTTTCATTTATATAGTTCCATATAAATTCCTAATTGTCTGAATAAATTAAAAAGAACTGAAGAAAATATGAACAATGAGTGGGGAACAGTATCACAGTAGATATCTATATTTGTCAAATTTCATCCTACATATTTGTTTGAAGTTTTACATTTTAATGTATGATCAGTGTTTGCATTAGATTTTAAGATTTAAGTCTCAAAATTTGTTTATTTAAATCTCAAAATTTGTTTATATAGTACATTTTAATTTTATTGGTCAGAACTACCTTTGCTTATTGATAGCTGGGTTTTCTATGTAATTATATAATAATTTATTTCCATCAGGGAAGTTTTAAGTCTTGGTTAGCGATTCAGTGCCAGTCTTTGCTGATAACAACAGCTACAAAGGAATGAAAATTGTGTCTAAGCTTCTAGTACAGAAAAGACTTTTGGGGGAGTTCCCTGGCAGTCCAGTGGTTAGGACTCGGTACCGTGGCCCTGGGTTCAATCCCTGGTTGGGGGACTATCACGCAAGCTGCATGGCACGGCCCCCCAAAAAGAAAAAGAAAAGACAAGACTTTTGGTCAAATTTTATGTTTTGAGTAGTTACAAACACAACATGTATATGTGTTTAAACTTACATATGTAAATGTATATGTATATATATACACATACAAATGCATATATATACACACACACAGTCACCAATATATGTAGTGATCACCATTATCTTACAATAAGAGGAACGTACTTCTCTGCCTGTTCATTTTACATAATTTGATTTTTACCATCCTCCTGTCTTCTGTGTTTTGTTTAGTGCTTATTAACATTAACTTTGGTCTTTGTATTAGTTTCCTGTGGCTGCTGTAACGAATTACCCCAAACTTAGTAGCTTAAAATGACAGAAACTTATTCTCTTACAGTTGTGGAGGCCAGAAGTCCAAAATCAGTTTCACTGAGTCAAAATCCAGGTGTCCGCAGATTCTAGGGAGAATTTGTTCCTTGACTCTTGAAGCTTTTGGTGTCTGCTGGCATTCCTTTGCTTGTGACCACATCAGACCCATCTCTGCCTCCATCTTCACATCACTTCTTCCATATGTCTGATCTTCCTCTACCTCTCTTATAAAAACACTTGTGATGGCATTTAGTGCCCGTCTGGATAATCCAGGATTATCTCCTCATCTCAAGATCCTCAACTTAATCACACGTGCAAAGGCCCTTTCTCCTTATAAAGTAACGTTTCAGGGATTAAGACCTGATATCTTTGGGTGGCCATTATTCAGCCTACTACAGTCCTCATAGCAGGTCATTGAAAGGATCTTTGGGTTGATTTGATGAAGGGTTTTGATAAAGACAGAAAAACTGAACGTAATGTTTAGTCCAACTGCTGGAGCAGTTGAAATATCCTGCTTAAGAGACTAAAATCAATCTGCAACTAATAGGGGTTTGGACTTGATGGAAAATGAAGATTATGTACTCTTATTTTAAATCTGTTACAGCAAGTATTTTGCATCCTTGGTCACTTTATGCAGGGCAATAATGTCTACCACACTTGGCAAGGAGTAAAAATAAGCATGTTCATGGCTTTGTATTTTTTCATAACTTCAACTGCAGATATACTATCCGTTTTTGCATTGTGATTAACTCTATCTTGACCCCTTTAGCCACTCTGCACTAACCAAATTTAGAAGTCCTCCTCTTAGTAAAATAAAGAGTAATGTTTCAAACTGATTTCTCTGGCTAGAGGTATAGACCTTCTAGAAACAAGGACAAAACAGAGGTGATAATGCTGTAAGGAAACCGGGCTGTTAGCAAGAGAGTGTTTTTATCTCTAGGTCACTATTAGTAAATATCATAAAATATTTGTAATTTATATCTGTAAATCACAGTCATTATTTCCCTTTAAGGGAGAAATGATGTCATTAAACTTTCATTGGATGGGTAAGAATTGGTCCTGGCTTTGCCATAATTTCACTGAGTAGTATAGGGATGTGCTTTTCTGTATTTTCCTTAAAGGAACATTTTATGCAGATATGTGAAATGTAAAATAGGCTGTGTGCTTCTCTGAAAAAGAAGTCAAAATAGATACTTACTGAAATTGCTAGGTAGAGATAAGGAATGAACACAAAATTAACATATTTAATATTAATATTTATTATCAATTGTTACCTAGAGTACCTGAAACAAATTGGTCTGTTGACAGGTTTGAATTTGTACTCTAAATTAACTTAGGAAGCCTTCCTGGAAGAAGAGACATTTGAGAAAAGACTAAATAACTATAGTTTTCAAATGTTATGGGTGAAGAAGAGACTCATGTAAATAGGAAAAAAGGATTTTAGGGGGACTAGGTAGGAATAGAGAGTCTTCTTACAAGGAGTGATAAAAGTGATCAGGCATGCAAGGACCAGTTGAAGAAGTAACTCTTTATTAAGAAGACGGATAGAAGGTAAGGAATGTGTCTGCTCAGTAATTTCCAAATTCAGACTTATAGGTTCTAATATTTTTGTGTACGTACTTAATATAAAGCCCACATTATTAAAAAACGATTTGAGTAACAGCACTTAAATCAAGTTATGAAATACAGTCTCTTAAGATAATGAAAATAATGTTGTAAATACACTTAGCAGATCAGAAAATCTCCTTTCCAAGTAATCCTCTTGTCTTAGGTCTGGCAATTTTTAATAATAGGGGCCTGTTTTCCTGTTGGAACACTTAGTGAATTTGGTATTAAGACTTTAGCCTGTTTTTCTTTTCTTTTTTTCCGCTTTCTTTGGCAGCTTAGTCAAACCATGAAAGAAGCACGTCAACGGCTGGCATCATTTAAAACTGTGAATAAAAAAAATGCATCGGTGTTTCCAGATGATCGAAAGAAAAACTTTCCCACCCAAGAGGTAAATTAAATTCTAATGAGCTGTTTCTAAAAATACAGATTAAAAAATAGGATAAAGATTAATTTACATCTCTACATTATTTAGACCTGAAAAATAATTGGAAATAACCTTAATTATCCAAAAGTAGGGAGCGGTTTAAAAGTTATGATATATTCGTTTATAGCTATTATCAAAAATATCATGCTTTCAAAGGGTATCTGAAGACTAGGGAAAGTGTCTGTGATATAAAGTTAAGTGGAAAAAGTAGGATATAAAATTAGATACAATGTAAGCTCAACTAAAAAAATTCATTCCATAAATATTTATGGGATGTGTACGATTGCCAGGCATTGTTCTAGAAGCAGGACTTAACAGTGGTGAAAAGGTAGACAAGGAGCTCCTGTGTTAGTAGGGAAGCATATAATAAATAAGCAAATAAATGCAAAATATAATTTCAAATGATAAATGCTATGAAAAAAATAAAGCAAAATATCGAGATGGGGAGAGAATGCTATGAGCACAGAGAAAGGCCTGGAAAGAAATGGACCAAGAGGTTAATACTGATTATTTCTGGATAGTGTTATTACAGGTGATTTTTATTTTTTTCTCTTGGTTTTCTTTACTGTAGAAATTTTCCATAATGTATATATTTTATTTTTTAATCAGGAAGAAGTCAATACCATTATTTTTCAAAAAGAAAGAAATTCTTTTGATTCAAAATATAGAATAAGTTTAGCGTGAATAATTGGAACCTAAATATGGAGTTAGACTTAAAAGAATATTTAAAGCTATGCTTGTAAAATTGCATTGTTTTGGTGCCTCCTTATTTCCATGTTCACAAATTTGGATGTTAAACCCATGTATTTTCCTGTGTTTACTTAATTTTAGCATTAATTTCAAGTTTTGATAGGCAGCATCAGTAAAATGGCTCATTAATTAGTCTTTTTTTACTCTTTGTTTTTGGTACCATTAAGAACTCTGTCTCTTGCTTAGTTCTTTCTCAGTTTTGCTTCCTAATTGGTATTTTTTTACATTTTCCTAGATTACATATATGTTTATATTTTATTTTTGTATTTTTTCCTTAAGTATCTCTGTGCAACCATCAAAGACATTTGTCTCTTATATGTTTGCAGTTGGTAGAATACTAAGCTATAATACCTTCCTCTTCAGCGATAATTAAGAAATTTATAGTTAAATATAAAAAACAAGTGGGCATGGGTGTGCCTACATATGGCATTCCATCTTAGATGCATTAAGTATGGTTACCTTTTTCTAGGATTGCCTTGTTGTGACTTAAGACTCTTTTGAAACTAAATTCTTGACTTAGTTTCTTGACAATTTTCATACCTCTACCACGGATTTGGCAGTACTATAGTTTGGTCCATAAGACTGACTTCCCGGTACTGCTCAAAGGAGATGATTGGACACATTTTATTTAAACCAGAAAAAAAAAGGGTTATCAGAACCTAGAGACTGATACTTCACATTGTGTGGAGCATGTTCAAATCTTTCAACTGATGTTTTTCCCAGAAAGAGTACTGTTCCTAGGCCTGACTGAAATAATTCTCCAGTAGAAGGGAGGAGGATTAAGTCTGAGATGACATCCTTGTGTAAACCAGTTTGATACGTCAAAGGTGCCATTTAAGTGTAATTCATTATGATGTTGATGGTGAATTCAGGCTAGCTGCTTGCTTCCAAAGAATGCATGTGTGTTTTTCAGGTAAAACATCACAAACAAATCTACTCCATATAATTGAGAATGATCTAAGAAATTAGTGAAACTTTTCTTATCAAGTACGTAGTCTTTCCCTCAAATCTGAACAGTTTTCTATCCATTCAGTTGTGTGAAGGAGGAAGCTGCCAGTCAGAAAGGAGAACAATCTATAACCCAGTTGAACTCTGGTTTCGTATTCTTGTTAGACTTATTTTGACTGACATCTGGTTGTTCCAGATTTAGAGATAAACGTAGAAGAGATATATTTGCCTTGCCCACTGTTAGATCACCAAGACAAAATTGTAAGCCTTCTGAAATTGTTACTGGCTAGGATAGGGGCAAATTATCATTCATAAAGTTAAAATATTCTCCTACCAGGATCAGCTCCGTGCTTTGTGACCACCTAGAGGGGTGGGATAGGGAGGGCGGGAGGGAGACGCAAGAGGGAGTGGATACGGGGATATATGTATATGTATAGCTGATTCACTTTGTTATACAGCAGAAACTAACACAACAATGTAAAGCAATTATACTCCAATAAAGATGTTAAAAAAAAAATTCTCCTACCAGGAATTTCACTTCCATGTGTTTGATATGTAAGTGACTTGTTTGTATACTTGAAATAGAACTCAATATTCTGTATTAGACTACCATAACCTGCTAGGATTGCTCCAGATCTTTCACAAAAATTCAGCTTAGTGTCATGAGCATATTGCTTTCTCTAGACCATTTATATTTGTATTAATTTTTCTTTTTTTTCAGAAAGCACTTTGTAGGAAACCATCATTCACCAGGATAAATATAGGGATAAGAGGAGAAATGCTCTTTGAGGTCCATCAAGGTCTTTTTTTTTTTTTTTTTTGTGGTACGCGGGCCTCTCACTGCTGTGGCCTCTCCCGTTGCGAAGCACAGGCTCCGGACGCGCAGACTCCGGACGCGCAGGCTCAGCGGCCACGGCTCACGGGCCCAGCCGCTCCGCAGTATGTGGGATCCTCCCGGACCGGGGCACAAACCCGTGTCCCCTGCATCGGCAGGCGGACTCTCAACCACTGCGCCACCAGGGAAGCCCCATCAAGGTCTTTTAACTCTTGTAGATTACCAGACATTTATGGAAGATCAGGTAGGGAAATGTAAAGAGTAGAGGAAAAAAGATGCCTTGTTAGAACTATCCACAGCTAATTAAGGATGGGTTTAAGTATTAAGATTATAATGCCCAATAGTTTTTTTTTTCTAACAGTTCTATTAAGCTATAATTCACATACCACACAATTCACCCACTTAAAGTGTACAGTTCAGAGGTTTTTGGTATATTCACAGGGTTGTGCAACTGTCACCACAATCTAATTTAGAAGATTTTCTTCACCCCTGAAAGAAACCCCGTACCTGTTAACTGTCACTCCCCAGTCCCTCCCTGTCCCTACCCCCAGTACTAAGCAACCACTAAACTACTTTCTGTCTCTGTAGATTTGCTTATTCTGGGCATTTCATATAAATGGAATAATATAATATGGCGTCTTTTGTGACTGGCTTCTTTCACTTTGCATAATGTATTCAAAGTTCGTCCACATTGTAGCATGTATCAGTACATCAGTATGTCACACTTAGTTCAGCAGTTGATAGACATTTGTGTTGTTTCCATTTCTTAGCTTTTATGAATAATTGTGCTATAAGCAGTTTTTACATGTTTTTGTACGGACATTCATTTCTCTGGTTGTGGAATTTCTGGGTCATGTTAACTCTATGTTTAATATTTTGAGGAACTGCCAAGGTGGTTTTTTTTAATTTTTTTTTATTTTTTTCTTTGCGGTATGCGGGCCTCTCACTGCTGTGGCCTCTCCTGCCGTGGAGCACAGGCTCCGGACACGCAGGCCCAGCGGCCATGGCTCATGGGCCCAGCCGCTCCGCGGCATGTGGGATCTTCCAGGACCGGGGCATGAACCCGTGTCCCCTGCATCGGCAGGCGGACTCTCAACCACTGCGCCACCAGGGAAGCCCCGGTTTTTTTTAATTTTTAAAAAATTAATTAATTTTAAAATTAATTTTGGCTGTGTTGGATCGTCATCACCGTACTTGGGCTTTTCTCTAGTTGCGGTGAGCGGGGGCTACTCTTTGTTGTGGTGTGCAGGCTTCTCATTGCGGTGGTTTCTCTTGTTGCGGAGCACAGGCTCTAGGCACGCGGACTTCAGTAGCTGTGGCTCGCGGGCTCTAGAGCACAGGCTCAATAGTTGTGGTGCACAGGCTTAGTTGCTCCACGGCATGTGGGATCTTCCCAGATCAGGGATCGAACCTCTGTCTCCTGCATTGGCAGGCAGATTCTTATCCACCGTGCCACCAGGGAAGCCCCTGCCAAGGTGTTTTCCATCAACAATGTATGAGGGTTCCATTTTCTCCACATTGTCTTCAAAACTTGTTATTGCCCATCTTTTTTACAGCCACCTTAGTGGGTGTGAAGTGGGATCTCTCCATACTTTTGATTTGTATTTTCCCAGTGACTGATCATCTTGAATATCTTTTCATGTGCTTATTGCCCATTTATATATCTCTCGTGGAGAAAATCTGTATTCAAATGTAGTGCCATTTTTAAATTGAGTTGTCTTTTTATTATCAAGTTATAAGAATTCTTTATATGAATACAAGTCTCTTATCAGATACTTGATTGCAAGTATTTTCTCCCATTCTCTGGGTTGTCATTTAACTTTCTTAATGCTATCATTTGCAGCACAAAATTTTTAGTTTTGGTATAGTCTAATTTATCTGTTTTTCTTTTGCTGCTGTGCTTTTGGTGCAGTATCTATTAAGCCATTGCTTAATCCTATGTCTTCTAAGAATTTTATAATTTTATCTCTCATATTTAGGTCTTTAATCCATTTTGAGTTAATTTTTATATATGGTGTGAGGAAGAGTGCTAACTTAATGCTTTTGCATGCATTCTTGTTTCTACCTGTAACAGATACATTTGGTTGGTTTTTTTTTTTTCTTTTCCATTTTTGTTTGTGTGTTCTTTAGGAACCTGACACTGAGGAATCTTCATCTATTATGATAGATAAGAAAGGGAAAAAGAATTTGTCTTGGGGGGACCAGCAGGATCTCCTTTTTGAAGACAAGGATATACCTTTCAGCACAGTTCAGGTAAAGCAGAGTGAAAGGAGATAGTATAATAGAAATTAAAGTAATTATGATTTGGACTAGAGATGCCAGTATTCTTGTACTGGTTTGAGACTGTAGATTTAGGTTCTATTGAGTTGAGCAAAGACTGTAATTTTGCATTTTATTTTAGTAATTTGTTTGACTACCGTATCCTTTTAAGATTATTTTAGGAATCTCGCAGAAAACCCAGTGTTGCTGCTGCTTGCCATTCTATATTTGATGTTTATGTTCACTTTTAGAAAGTACAATTCAAAAATCCATTATTTGCTGTGATGGAAGAGGAAGAGGTAAGGCAGTTACACCAGGATGTTCTGCCAGAAGCCCAGGATTATCTTCCAGAAGCCCCAGGTGACCTGCTGCAAACCCAGGGTGATTTGACAGGCGTCTGCAGTGTTGAGCTGGAAGCCCAGAGTGTTGAGCTGAGGCTCGGTACCCAGGATATCAAGCTGGAAGGCCAAGCTGTTGAGCCCAAAGCCCAGGCTGTTAAGACCAAAACTCAGAGTGTTATGCTGAAAGATCAGAGTGTTGAACTAGAAGATGGGAATATTGTTTTGGAAGTCCAAGATTTTCTACTCCAAAACCAGGCTTTTCTACCCACAGACCAGCATATTCTTCCCAAAGACCAGAATGTTCTACCCAAATGCCAGGACCAGGATTTTCTACCCACAGACCAGCATGTTCTTCTCAAAGACCAGAATGTTCAACCCAAGTGCCAGGACCAGGATTTTCTACCCAGAGATCAGGTAAAATAGAGTGGAAAGGAGATATAACAAAAAGAAATAAGCTCTTTAAGGCTTGTAGTGGGATTTGCAAGGACTATATTGCAGCTGATTTGGAGAGCCATAGTTGGAACAAAATAGTTCACTGATTGATTTATCAAATAAATGTCCAGGGTTCTTATTAAGTGTTAAAATATTGTCAGCAGCATATTACCCCTGTCTGGACAATTTGCTTTTTAAACAATTTTCTTCATTAGGGAAAGTATTTCTTGCAGCCGTCATCTGTTTTGAGAGCTGAAAGATGGGAAAAAAGAGTGGCCCACAAGTGTCCAACAGTATTTTTTACCCAGGTTCCAAGGTCAGCCCTCCACCAGAGATCAGGTAGACCAAGAGGAAGAAGAAAGGGATCAACAGGAAGTAAATTACTTAGGGTTGTGGCTGGGTTTATGGGGAATAGAGTATAGTGTGTTAATTTATTCTATAAGATGTTCAATTAAACTCTGACCTCAGTTAACTCCTGAATTCTCAGTGCAACCTAAAGTATTATTGATTAACCTGTCTTTCTTAACTGAACAATTGCTATTTTATATTTGTTCTTTTTTAGAAAGCAAATTTGAAGCCGCCAGCATCAGTTTTGATAGGTAGGAGTCGGGAAGAGGTGCTTCCTCTGGATGTCCATCAAGATCTTCTACACAGGCATCAAGATCAGGCATTCATCAACGGCAAGGTAGAGCAGAAAAAGGAGAGGGACCATCAGGAACTGCATTGTTTGGGTTTAGTTTGGAACTTTCCAAGATTGTTCTTAGCTAGATTTCAAAAAGTATGGTTTTCTGTTTTATTCCATAATGTTTCACATTATCTGGAGTTGAAAAAATTACTGTAAGGCTCCCAATAGAGCCTAGAATATTATTGCTATCATGTTACTCACACTGAACAATTTACACTTTATGTTTTCTTCTCTCTTAGAAGGTACGCTTCAAGGAGTCATATTGTGATATGACAAATGAGAAAGGGAGAGAAGACTTTTCTCTGGCAGGTTATCAGTATCTGCCTCCTAAACTTCAGGACCAGGCCTTCATCAGAGATCAGGTAGAGCACAATCAGAAAGAGATAGAGAGAAAATAAAGTAGCTGGATTTCATACATTTTCAACAACTGGTAATGTGAAATATAGAATCAGATCCTTGTTCAGTGAACTGTATCAGTCAGATCAGTTCTGTCATTCAGAAGGATGATAAATCACATTCATATTCTTATTGTGGAATCAGACTATTCTAATTTACTAAGATTATGCTATAACTTTTGCTGAAGCCCACATTATTACCACAAGCATACTGCCCTTACGTGAATATTATAGGAAGAATTAGCAGATCCTAAATTACTTAAAATTTGGGGGGGGGTTGTCAGACTATTCTGTACATGTTTGGGGCTTAAAAATTAAGATCTCTAGAGTTGGGGTAAAAGTATAACATCCTCGTTCAAACCAAAATGTATCAGAATAGCCTCATCTGGTGCCATTTCCCTGGAGTTCTCACTGAAGCCTAGAGTATTAAGGTTAGCATGTTGCCCTGGTTAGACGACTTGTTTTCTGTTTTTGTTGTTTCTTTTGAACATGTTTCTGAAGCAACTGTCATCTTTTATGAGAGAAGAGAGAGAGAGAGATGAATTGACTCTGGGGTGTCATTAGAATGTTAAACCTAAAATGCAAGACCAAGCCTCCCCTAGAGAACAGGTAGAGCAGAATACAGTGAGAGCGCTGTCTACTTTCTAAAAGAGTAACAGATGAAATTTCTTAAGATTTGGGCTGGAGCTTGCCAAGCTAGCTAGTATGTAGACTACATAGAATTAAAGCTTCTAGAGTTAGGCTAAGAGTATGATGTCTTCATTTATTTCAGAATGTGCCAGATCTAAAGAGACCAGGTGAGGAAGCATACCTCTGTCATTTGGGTTAAATAAGAGATAGGTTTTATATAAAGTTGATTGGTTATCCGTAAATTGTTCTTCTTAAACTCAAGTCCTTCAGCAAATTTGCCTTTTGACATTTAGTCTTATACATACTGAAGGAATTCTACTCTTGGCCATCTGAAGCAGTACACCAAAGCCAGACATCAAATTTGCAAACCAGTTATGATGAAGGAAAAAACAAGCTGTTTGCCACTCAAAACATCCTAGACTTCACCACTTCTAGTATTTATGCATGGAGTTATTGGGGACATCGAGTAGGAGTACTTTGGGAAATGACACAGCTTTTTTCCTGGCTTTACCTGAGAAAATGCTAGCAACATTATAAAAATATTGCCTTGTTGCCTTATCTTCTTCGAAATGTGTTGTTGAATAAAGAGTTGCCCCATGCAAAAAATGCAAAAGAAAAAAAGTGCCAGAATAATCTGGGATTTGCTTCAAAATACTCCAGGAAAGAAAGTGGGAGAAGAGATGGATGAAAAAACATGATGTTGCTGGGAGGGACAAATTGGGAAATTGGGATTGACATATCACACTACTATATATAAAATAGATAACTAATAAGGACCTACTGTATAGCACAGGGAACTCTACTCAATATTCTGTAATGGCCTATAGGAAAAGAATCTAAACAAGAGTGGATGTATGTATAACTGACTCACTTTGCTGTACACCTGAAACTAATACAACCTTGTAAAACCAACCATACTCCAATAAAAATTAAGAGAAAAAACAAAAACAAAAAACATGATGTTGCTAATTGTCAGTGCTGGGTGATAGGTATCTTGGGACTTATTATACTAATTTTTTCCCCACTTTTATGTATGTTTGGAAATTTTATATTAAACACACACATGCACACCTCTAATTGTTATATTACCCTCCCCTGGTATCATTATTTCAGAGTTGTCACTGAAGTGTACAGTATTGTCACTAACCTATAATTTTTGCTTAGACAATTAGTTTTGTGTTTTGTTATTCCTTTAGAACAAGTGTATCAAGCAGCCCTCATCTTTTGAGAAATGGGAGGTTGAAAGACGAGTTGCTTCTGAAGTGCCATCGGTATGTTTCACTTGGTATTCAAGACCTAGCCTCTCCCAGAGAATAAGTAAAGCAGAATATAGGGAGAAGTAAGTAACAGAGAGTAAATTCCTTAGGTTTTGGTTCAAGATTGACAGGGCAAAGTAGTAACTGTTTCAGGGGTTTAGTGTTAAGGTCAATAACAATGGGCAAAGATATAATGTCCTCCTGTTCTGTGACCATTCTGCCCTGTTAAAACTACTTCTGGCCTCTTCACTAAAGCTTTTACTATTGCCCTGGCGTGACGCTACCGCTTGGACAATTGATGTTCAGTGTTTGTTTTCTTTTAGCACAGGAACTGTGGGCAGGCCTCACATAATATGACAGATGAGAGATGGAGAAAGGAGTTATTTCTGGAGCACCATGAATATGTTTTACATGAAATCCAGGATCCAGGCTCCACCAGAGAGCAGGTAGAGCAGAGTATAGTAAAGTGTAAGCAGCAGAAAGTCAGTTAATTAGAGTTTGATATAGACTTGCCAGAGCTATGCTACCAACAACAACGATGATGATGATAGTGTTATCTCTTATTAATATTATCAATAATGTTGTTAGTATTATTAAGACTAACAGCTTAAATTCATTAAGCATTTACCATAGTAGCCAAAATGGTTCTAAAACTGTATCCATTGTCTCATTTAACTCTCACAATTACCCTGGGAGATGGATACTATTATTATCCTTGTTTTATGGCTGGAGAAACTTAGGATTGCTTCGCAGATACAGTTAAGATCCATAGTAGTGGCGAGAAGTGTAATGTCTACTTTTATGCCGTAATATATTAGACTATTCTGACCTATTTAGATTACATCAGGGGTATCGCTGCAGCCTAAAGTATTTTTACTACTATTACGTCACTGCTCACGCCATTTGGGGAATGCATTTGTATCTTTTAGAGCTTACGCTTCATACGGCAACCATCTGCTGGAACAGCTGAAAGATGGCAAGCAGGTTTGCTTCCGGCTGGCCGTCAGCATCTTCCACCCAAGCACCAGAGAGAGGCTCCCAGCAGCAGACAGGTAAACCAAACTGTAGAGTATGAACCCTGGAGTTTAGATAGGGTGTGGGTCCTACTGAGCTGGGAGCAGTAAGGCTGAGCAAAAGGCCGATTCTGGGTTTATTTCATAGTGTGTAAAACCTAAGATTACTCAGCGAAGCCTAGGGTATTGTCAGGAGTGCTTGTTGCCTATTGGAAAAATTGTATTTTTTACATGTACGTTCTTTTATTAAAGGTGTATTTCTGGTGGCCCTAGTCTTCTATGGTGTGAGAGGGAAAGAAATAAGTGGTTTCTGGGGGGAGGGGGAGGGAGGATCTTTCACCAACAGCCAGGACTAGATCTCCATCAGTAACCTGGTAGAGCATAAGGTAGGATCACCAAGAAAGAAACTCTTCAGAATTTGGGCTGGAGCTTGTTAGGGTTATATTGCCTAAGTTTTGGTGTATTGATTTAAGATCTATAGTTTTTCAAGAAAATGTCACAGTACGCTGGCCTACTAAGATTTTTCTATGACTTAACTGAAGTCTAGTTTATTCTCACTAGAATTTTACCATTGTCTGGATAATTTCTGACTTGTGGTTTCATGTTATTTTAAAGATAGAGCCTTCAGGCAACCAGTGTTGTTAGAATATATGAAAGAGATAAAGAGAAATTTCCTCTTGGCTCTTTTAAGAGAGCAGAAAGAAAAGGAGGCATAAAGGCAGAATTATGGATTTGGGCTGAGGTTTTTAGGACTAAACTGCAGGTCCTTTGTTATTTTTGGTTTGGGTCTCTTAAGATTGGTCTAAGGGAAGGCTGTCATGTTTTCTTCTGCATCGCCGTTTACATATCCTGAACTATGCCAGGCCCTTTTCTACTTCAGCTCTTTTGCTTTTTTTACCCCTCTGCTTGGATAGTCTTCTCTTTTTTCTTCACAAAGCTGGTCCCTTCTCATCCTTCACGTTTCAGCTTAAATGTCACCTTTTTAGAAAAGACTGCTCTGACCACCTTATCAAGATTAACGTTATTAATATTATTAAGACTAACAGCTTAAATTCATTAAGCATTTACCGTAGCCAAAATGGTTCTAAAACTTTGTATCCATTGTCTCATTTAACTCTCACAATTACCCTGGGAGATGGATACTATTATTATCCTTGTTTTATGGATGGAGAAACTTAGGATTGCTTCGCAGATACAGTTAAGATCCATAGTAGTGGCAAGAAGTGTAATGTCTACTTCTATGCCGTAATATATTAGACTATTCTGACCTATTTAGATTACATCAGGGGTATCGCTGCAGCCTAAAGTATTTTTACTACCATTACGTCACTGCTCACGCCATTTGGGGAATGCATTTGTATCTTTTAGAGCTTATGCTCCATACGGCAACCCTCTTCTGTTTTTCCTCTGTCCCTGCATTCTGTTTGTTTCCTTCTCCATAAACAAGACAGTTTGTAATTATTTACTTATTTACATGACTTCCACTAGTCTATAAGCTTTATGAGGAGAGGCACCACACTTGTTTTGTTTACCGGAGTGTGGACAGCATTTAACATGGTGCCTGGTACCTGCTGGTTTCTTGCTAAATTTGTTTAGAAAGAATTAGTCAATCAAACACTTATTGAGCACCTGTTTGATGTTAGCCATTGTTTAGGTTCTAAATATCAAAGATATAACTATGAACAAGACAGAGCACTCAAATTTCAGACAGTCTAAAGAAGAGAGACTGACAAATAAGCGATAATTCTGAAGCAACGTAATTAGTGGTACAGGATGCATAGGGCATTAGCTGAGCACAGAAGAGGGGTACCTAATCCTGACTGTTTGATTGAGGGTGCAGCTTTGGTAGTCAGAACCTCTTCTTATTGTCCTTCTGCCATACCAGCCCTGAAAATCCTCAACCCTGGATCAGTCCTTTCACCTTTTAGGCTCCCAAATAATCCAGCCTTATTGGAAAAAAGCTCTTTAATGGTGTAGGTTTATACACATTCATCCTTACGGTTTATAGTCACAGCTGGGTCCCCAGTGCTGCCTAGCTTTTTCCTTACTTGCCACTTGTCCGCTCCCTCACCTATGGCCCACACTGATCATTCTAACCCTTAAATACTCCTTAAAGTTCCTGCTGCACCCCCATACTCTCAGACTTTCGATAAAAGAAAAAGTAGAAACCATCATGCAATAACTCCCTTGACCATTTACTTTTTTGCCATTCTTACCTGTTCCTACTAATCTCAGAGGAAGAGATGTCTTTCTTTGGATCCATATTCTGGATTCTCTTGCCATCTTTTCTTCTGGGTCCAATTTTGAATATTATATTGTGAGACAGGTTTCTATTAAAATCCTCTGAATAATGTTGCATATTTTTGTTTGTTTTGGCAAGCAGTCAACCTGGTTAAATTCAGATTATACGTTCTTTCTCATCTTCTGTGAACAGTGGCTCCAATGTTAGTTCAGGTCTCAAAGCCTTCATTATACTTCTTTAAGTCCATCCCATGCATGCACAGCTCAGGGGTAATTCTGGGATGTGTGCCAGTTCATACACAGAATTAAGGAATCCACTTTTCTAACTCATGCATCTTTTTTTTTTTGCGGTATGCGGGCTTCTCACTGTTGTGACCTCTCCCGTTGCGGAGCACAGGCTTCGGACACGCAGACTTATCGGCCACGTCTCACGGGCCCAGCCGCTCCGCGGCATGTGGGATCTTCCTGGACCGGGGCACGAACCCTTGTCTCCCACATCGGCAGGCGGACTCCCAACCACTGTGCCACCAGGGAAGCCCTCATGCATTTTTTTTAAATTAATTTTTATTGGAGTATAGTTGATTTATAATGTATTTTATAATGTATTAGTTTCTGCTGTACAGCAAAGTGAATCAGTTATACGTATACACATATCTACTCTTTTTTTAGATTCTGTTCCCATACAGGTCATTACAGAGTATTGAGTAGAGTTCTGAACTCACTCCTCTTGAGGATACCCACCCCGTATACTCTCCAGATACCAGGGGCCACATTTCCTGGAATTTTTAGTTACAATCAGTGAGAGAGAGAGGCTCAGAGGGGGCTTACTCCTTGGCCAGTGCTGGAAGTCCAGTTTTTCTTACTTTTTTGAAAGCAGAACATTTCATTTTTATTATAGCAAAAGTAAATACAAATAAACAAAAAGAAAAAAAAACCCCAAATTCCAGAGATAACCACCATTAGCCTATTGCTGTGTATTGTTTTCAGATTTTCTCTATAACAAATAACTTTAAAAATAACAGCCTTATTGAAATATACAATCAATTCTCTTTATTCATAGTAGTTATGTTCTATAAAGTTGCCATAAACACTGAATTTTAGTGAATACTGAACCATTCATTGCTCAACTGTTTTGTGTGAATTTCTGTTTGAAGACACCTTATTTAATGTGTGTTGTTGATTCATTAACATTGTAGTCAGGGCCAGTGTCACTACAGCTTGTGCCTGAACGAAGCTTATCTAATATATGTAAATATTTTCTCCATAAGGCACATCACAGCCTTCTTATGCTTAAGAACACTAGGTAGTGCTTCAGCACTGTGCTTGAGGGATGTTTTAAACAGCAAAATCAACAAAAAAAGCACAAAAATGCAAAAACCTTTGCACCAAATGTACCTTGAAAAGGATACTGGTTTACAGTATGAAGGCCCAAAGGCAGAGCATCACCGTGTTCGACCTCAGCTTGCAATGTGTAAAACTGACGATTCAGATTTTTCACAGCTCTGTGCATGTCTGCAACTGACCACAAAAGCACTGCGAGTGTTCATTTTGTGATAACAAATACATTTTAACGAATAGGCAAATTCACAAATAATACAGGAGTGTTCAAATAATGAGGATTGACTATATACCATACAAGTAACCCATTTAAAGTGTACAATTCAGTGTTTTTACTATATTCAAAGGGTTGTGCAGACTTTGCCACAATCGGTTTTAGAATATTTTCATCACTCCCCAAAAGTCATACATACACCCATTAGCAGCCACTCGCTCCCTTTTTCCCCTCACCCCCATCCCCAGCCCTAGGCAACCACTAATCTACTTTCTGTCTCTATAGATTTGCCTTTTTTTAATATAAATTTTATATAAATGGGATCGTGGAATGGCCTTTTGTCACTGACTTCTTTCACTTAGCATAATGTTTTCAAAGTTCATTGACCTTGTAGCATGTAGTAGTACTTCATTCCTATTCATTGGATAATATTCCATTATATTCATATAGCACGTTTTATTTATCCATTCATCAGCTGATGGACATTTGGATTGTTTCCACTTCTTGACTGTCATGAATAATGCTGCTATGAACATTTGTTTATAAGTTTTTCTGTGGTATGTGTTTCCATTTCCCTTGGGTATATACCTAGGAGGGGAATTGCTGAGACTTGTGGTAATCATATGCTTAACCCTTGAGGAACTGCCAAACTGGTTTCCAAAGTGGCTGCGCTATTTTTCATTCTCATTGGCAGTATTATGAGGGTTCCAATTTCTCTGCATCCTCACCAACACTTGTCATTGTCTGCCTTTTTAATTATAGTTCTCTTAATGGGTGTGAAGTCGTATCTCACTGTGGTTTTGGTTTACATTTACTTGATGATTAATGATGAGCATCTCTTCACATGCTTATTGGCCATATGTATATCTTCTTTGGAAAATTATTAAATCCTCTGTGCAACTTGTAATTGGATTATTTATCTTCTAAGTATTGAGTTATATGAGTTCTTAATATATTCTACTGGATTCTTAATCTACTGGATTCTTAATATATTCAAATCTGTTTTGTGATTTGCAGATGTTTTCTCCTATCCTGTGGGTTGTCTTTTCACTTTCTTGGTGGTTTCCTTTCCTTTGCAGCACAGAAATTTTTAATTTTGAAGTCCAGGTTACTTATTTTTTCATGGCTTGTGCTTTTGGTGTCATATCTAAGAAACCATTGCCTGATCCAAGGTCATGAAGATTTACTGCTGTGTGTTCCTCTAAGAATTTTATATCTCTTGCATTCTGCAAGGTCTTCAATCCACTTTGCATTAATTTTCTTATATGGTGTTCAGTAGAGGTTCAACTTCATTCTTTTTTGCACTTGGGTATCCAGTTGACCCAACATCATTTGTTGAAAAGACTCTTTTTACCCGTTGAATTCGCTCGTCACTCTTGTCAAAAATTAGTTGATTACGGGCTTCCCTGGTGGCACAGTGGTTGAGAGTCTGCCTGCCGATGCAGGGGACGTGGGTTCGTGCCCCGGTCCGGGAAGATCCCACATGCCGCGGAGCGGCTGGGCCTATGAGCCATGGCCGCTGAGCCTGCGCCTCCGGAGCCTGTGCTCTGCAATGGGAGAGGCCACAACAGTGAGAGGCCCGCGTACCGCAAAAAAAAAAAAAAAAAAAAAAAAGTTGATTGTAAATTTAAGAGTTTATTTCTGAACTATCAGTTCTATTCCATTGATCTATAAGTCTATCCTTATGTTAGTACCACACTGTGTTGATCAGTGTAGCTTCACAGTAAGTTTTGAAATTGGGGAGAGTGAGTTCTCCAACTTGGTTCTTCTGTTTCAAGGTCATCTCAGCTATTCCAGGTCCCTTGCATTTTCGTATGAATTTAAGGATAACCTTGTCAACTTCTACAAAGAAGTCAGCTGAAATTTTGATGTAGATTGCATTAAATCTGTTGATCAATTTGCCATCTTAACAATATTAAGTCTTCTGATTCATTTAGATCTTCTATTTCTTTCAACAATGTTTTGTAGATTTCAGTGTATACAATTTACACTTCCTTTATTAAATTTATTCCTAAGAATTTTTTGATGATATTTTATATGGATTTTCCCCTTAATTTCATTTTCAGATTGTTCATTGCAAGTACCTAAAAATACAATAGAGTTTTGCATACTGATCTTATATCTTGCAACTTTGCTGAAAGATAAATAACTTTTAAGCTAAAAAGATAAAAGTAATTTTAAACTTTTATTTCTAAAAGTTAGAGATCATAATTTGAGCCATATAATGTCCAAGTAAGTGTACTAAGTTACATCAACAGGCTTTTCTAATAATTAGGGGGGAAATAAGCCCCAGTTTCTTCCCTGCCATGTCAGTTGATGGCTATAGTATTTTCAAGCTTTTATTCTCTAAACTCACACCTTTCAAGAATATGTATAAATTGAAAATGACTACAGATTTGAGATGTTAAGGGATCTAGTTTTATATCCTGGATTCAGTCCCAAGCACACACTCATGATAGAGTGATTTCAAGTGATCAGTTTAGGACTTTCATTCTGAACATTTTGATCTGTCATTAGTTCATTCTCTTTTTTTTTTGGCTGTGTTGGGTCTTTGTTGCTGTGTGCTGGCTTTCACTAGTTGCGGCGAGCGGGAGCTACTCTTCATTGCAGTGTGCAGGCTTCTCATTGAGGAAGCTTCTCTTATTGCAGAGCATGGGCTGTAGGCGCAGGCTTCAGTAGTTGTGGTGTGTGGGCTCAGTAGTTGTGGCTTGCGGGCTCTAGAGCACAGGCTCAGTAGTTGTGGCACGTGGGCTTAGTTGCTCCATGGCATGTGGGATCTTCCCGGACCAGGTCTCGAACCCAGTATGTCCCCTGCATTGGCAGGCGGATTCTTAACCGCTGCACCACCAGGGAGGTCCCCATCCATGTTTTTGACCTGGATATTTTCTTTTCTTTATTGTTTTTGTTTGATTAATTTCTTTCTTTTATTCTTTCTTAAAGCTTTGTTCTTTTATATTTGTTTTAAAAATTGTTTTTATCCAGTTGAGCTCAAGATTGCAGGAGAAAGGAATCAATAGATGAAATTATCAAAAACATACGTAGGGCTAACTTTTGGCAATTTTGTCTCTTTGTGTGACTGGACTTTCTAACAGGTTGGTGGTGAATATCAATCAGGATTGAACACTGAATTCCAGACTCCACTGGCACTTCAGTCAGGAGTAAGTCAAGAGGAAGACAAGAAAGAGGTATGTAGTGGTAATGGCTTTTGGACATCAGTGTTTCTACTATAATAGTATATGTGAGATTGGAAACAATTTGTTGTGTCCTAACACATTAAGAGCTAGTACTACAAATTCCGTAGATAAAGGCACAAAAGTTGCTTGACTCATTTTAATATGTTGAACTTCTCTTCTAAGCTTCTAGGATTTAGGGTACCTTGATGTGAAATCAGAGAGGTGATCCCAGTGAGTTTCTTCAGTTAGTGTATATTTGCCATAATAGCTAATTTAAGGAAGAGTTTTAATTTGTGACTTCCTTTTTTTCCTTTTCAATCTAAAGTTAGTTTAAATGAACAGTTTTTAACACTGGCCATGCACCAGAATCAGACATGGAGCTTTTTCCAAATACAAATGCCTGGACCCAAAGCAGATATACTGAATCAGTATCTTAGGTAGGTTTGGGGCATCTGTGTTTTAAAAAAACACCACAGATGATTGTGATGTATCTTCAATATTGAGAACTGTTATTATAGTTTTAATAATTTTTACCAAAAAGACACAAGCTACTCTAAGGACAAAAACATGTCTGTGTGTATACTAGTGCTCTTTGAGTAGCTTGTGCCCTTAAAAAGAGAATATATAAATTTGGAAGTATGAACAGATCACGCACAGGGTAGTAGCATTTGCTTTTTTTTTTTTTTTTTTAAATTATTTATTTATTTATTTTTGGCTTCGTTGGGTTTTTGTTGCTGCACGCGGGCTTCCTCTAGCTGTAGCGAGCAGGGGCTACTCTTCCTTGTGGTGTGCGTGTTTCTCATTGTGGTGGCTTCTCTTGTTGCGGAGCACAGGCTCTAGGCACGTGGGCTTCAGTAGTTGTGGCACGTGGGCTCAGTAGTTGTGGCTCACGGGCTCTAGAGCGCAGGCTCAGTAGTTGTGGCGCACAGGCTTCATTGCTCCGCGGCATGTGGGATCTTCCCGGACCAAGGCTCGAACCCATGTACCCTGCATTGGCAGGCAGATTCTTAACCACTGTGCCACCAGGGAAGCCCCAGCATTTGCTTTTATTATACTTGTTCCCTTTAAAAGTATGATGCTCTGATATTCCTCAGTCTTCCCTCCCTCCTCCCGACCATATTAGGCTAGGCTTAGAGTGTGCTTTTGTAGTGTGGTTTTAATTTTGGAAAGTTAAAGTGATGTTCTGTTATAGAATACCTCTTACATTCTTTCTTTGGTTCTGCTTCTGTGGTACTTACTACTTGGGAACACAGAGTAAATATAGTATGTATCTTATCATATTAAATATAATCATTTCCACAAGGGCTATTGACAACTGACCATGCTAAGTGCAAACTAAATTAGTACTTCTTTCTCTGATTTGTCTGTTACATCTAATAGCTATGTGTTTGAAAATATAAATCTCTTGCTATATGTGATATTATCCTGAGTCACCATAAATAGAAGGAAATTAAGGACTTAATTCCCTGTGACTTTTGTGTCATATAGTTTTCTTGTCTATGGCACAAGGATTTTCCTTTCTTGGAAAGTCCTCTGAGAGCAGAATCTTAACAATTTTAACTTCTTTTCTTTAGCGTCAAAAGCAGTACCTGAGATATAGACGACTTTTCATGGATATTGAAAGAGAACAAGTGAAAGAACAACAGAGGCAAAAAGAACAAAGGAAGAAAATTGAAAAGTAAGTTCTTTGATCCTCATTGTGAGCCTTAAATTACCAGTTAAGATGATTTTGGAAGCTAGGTTTTAGAAATAATCAAGCAGTGGTTTTACCTTCTTATCCAAAGTGGAAACAACTGTTTTTGATCTGGGTCGTAGTATTAAAAGATGGTTAAGAGCTATGTTTTTTTAATAGACTTTTTTGGGGAGTAGTTTTAGGTTCATAGCAAAATTAAGCAGAAAGTACAGAAAGTTCCCATTTACTCCCTGCCCCTACACATGGACTGCTTCCTCCACTGTCAATATCCTGTACCACAGTGACACATTTGTTACAACTCATAAACCTACATTGACATATCATAATCTATATTTTACATTAGGCTTCAGTCTCAGTGTTGTACATTATTATAGGTTTTGAAAAATGTATAATGACATGTATCTACAAACGTAGTATCATACAGAATAGTTTTATTGCCCTAAAAATGTTCTGTGCTCTGTGTATTCATCTCTCCCTTCCCCCAGCCTGTGGCAACCACTGATCTTGTTACTGGCTCCATTGTTTTGCTATTGGGTTGACCAAAAGGTTCGTTTGGTTTTTGTGTAAGATGGCTCTAGTAGCACTTAGTTGTCTTTAACTTCATTCAAAATAAGTTTGTTAGATTGTATGTGACAGCTGTCATATCAGCGTGCATTTAAAAAAAGACTTATCAAAATTGGTGAATTTTTGTGTAGCCATTTTAATATTGAAGATGGAAGGAAAAAACCAACATTTTTGGCATCTTATGCTTTATTATTTCAAGAAAGGTTAAATACACAACCGAAATGCAAAAAAAAAATTTGTGCAGTATATAGAGAAGGTGCTGTGACTGATCGAACATGTCAAAAGTGGTCTGCAAAGATTTGTGCTGGAGACTTCTTGCTGGATGATGCTCCACGGTCAGGTAGACCAGTTGAAGTTGATAGCAATCAAATCGAAACATTAATTGAGAACAATCAACATTATACCACACGGGAGATAGCCGACATACTCAAAATATCCAAATCAAGCGCTGAAAATCATTTGCACCAGCTTGGTTATGTGAATCGCTTTGATGTTTGGGTTCCACATAAGTTAAGCGAAGAAAATCTTCTTGACTGTATTTCCGCATGCGATTCTCTACTTAAACGTAATGAAAACGTTCCATTTTGAAAACAAACTGTGAGGGGTGATGAAAAGTGGATACTGTACACTAATGTGGAATGGAAGAGATTGTGGGGCAAACGAAATGAACCACCACCAACCACACCAAAGGCCAGTCTTCATCCAAAGAAGGTGATGTTGTATATGTGGTGGGATTGGAAAGGAGTCCTCTATTATGAGCTCCTTCTGGAAAACCAAACGATTAATTCCAACAAGTACTGCTCCCAGTTAGACCAACTGAAAGCAGCACTCGATGAAAAGCATCCAGAATTAGTCAACAGAAAACGCATAATCTTCCATCAGGATAACACAAGACCTCAGGTTTCTTTGATGACCAGGCAAAAACTGTTACAGCTTGGCTGGGAACTTCTGATTCACCCGCCACATTCACCAGACACTGCACCTTCGGATTTCCATTTATTTTGGTCTTTATAAAATTCTCTTAATGGAAAAAATTTCAATTCCCTGGAAACTGTAAAAGGCACCTGGAAGAGTTCTTTGCTCAAAAAGGTAAAAAGTTTTGGGAAGATGGAATTATGAAGTTGCCTGAAAAATGGCAGAAGGTAGTGGAACAAAAGGGTGAATACATTGTTCAATAAACTTCTTGGTGAAAATGAAAAAATGTATCTTTTATTTTTACTTAAAAACCAAAGGCACTTTTTGGCCAACCCAGTATTTTCAGAATATCGTATAGCTGGAATCATACGGTATGTAGCCTGTTCAGACTGACTTTTTCCCCTTAGTAGTATGCATTTAAGATTGCTCAAATTCCTTTTCATGGCTTAATAATTCATTTCTTTTTAGTGCTGAATAATATTCTAAAATCTGGATGTACTACAGTTTATTTATCCATGCACCTACTGAAGGATATCTTGGTTTCTTCCAAGATTTGGCAGTTACAAATAAAGCTACTATAAGCATCCATGTGCAGGTTTTGTGTGGGCATAAATTTTCAACTCCTTTGGGTAAATATTGAGGAGTACATTTGCTGGATTGTATGGTAAGAGGATGTTCACTTTTCTAAGAAACTATCAAACCTTCCTCCAAAATGTACCACTTTGTAATCCATCAGCAATGAATGAGAGTTCCTGTTGCTCCACATCCTTGTCAGCATTTGATGCTGTCGGCATTTTGAATTTTGGCCATTGTAATAGGAGTGTGTGTTATCTCGTTATTTTAAATTGCATTTCCCTGATAACATGATGAGGAGCATCTTTTCATATGCTTCCTAGCCATCTGTATATCATCTTTGGTGAAGTGTCTGTTCAGGTCTTGGGCCCATTTTTTAATTGGGCTATTTGTTTTCTTATTGTTGAGTTTTACGGGTTCTTTGTATATTTTGGATAATAGTACTTTATCAGATGTGTCTTTTGCAAATAATTCCTCCTAGTCTGTGGCTTGAATTCTCATTCTCATGACATTGTCTTTTGGAGAGGAGATGTTTTTAATTTTAATGAAATTCAGCTTATAATTATTTTTTTCATAGATCATACCTTTGATATTATATCTAAAAAGTCATTGCTGTACCCAAAGTCACCTATATTTTCTTTTGTGTTATCTTCTAGGAATTTTGTAGTTTTGTGTTTTACATTTAGCTTTATGATACATTTTGAGTTAACTTTTGTAAGGGGTATAAGGTCTGTGTCCGTATTCCTTTTTTTTCACACAGATATTCGGTTGTTCCTATACCATTTGTTGAAAAGACTATCTTTGCCTCATTATATTGCCTTTGCTCCTTTGTCAAAGATCAGTTAAGTGTATTTGTGAGGGTCTATTTCTGGGCTCTCTGTTCTGTGCCATTGACCTATTTGTCTATTCTTTTGCCAATACCACACTGTCTTAAAAGGGAAATGATGCCTGTAAGAGACTCACTTTAACTTTAAGGACACACATAGGCTGGAAGTGGAGGGATGGAAAAAGATATTCCATGCAAATGCTCACAAAAAGAGAGCAGGGATACCTATCCTTGTATCAGAAAAAATAAACTAAGTTAAAAAAGAAGGGTCACAATAGACAAAGAAGTCACTATATATGATAAAAGGATCAATTCATGAAGATGACATAACGATTGTAAATATCCAACATCGGAGCATCTAAATATAAAGCAGATATTAATAGAACTGAAGGGAGAAATAAACAATACAGTAAAAGTAGGCGACTTTAATACCCCCGTCTCAACAATGGATAGATCATACAGAAAGAAAATCAATAAGGAAACAGAACTTTTGAGTAGTACTATAGACCAAATGGATCTATACACACATATACAGAACATTTTATCCAACAGCAGCAGAAAACACATTCTCTTCAAGAACAAACAGAACATTCTCCAGGATAGATCATATGTTAGGCCACAAAACAAATCTTAACAAATCAAGAAGATTGAAATTATATCAAGCATCTTTTCCAAACACAATAGTGTGAAACTAGAAATCAATAACAGGAAGAAAATTGGAAAATTCACAAATACATGGAATTTAAACAACACACTCCTGAACAACCAGTGGACCAAAGAAGAAATCAAAAGGGAAATTTAAAAAAATCTTGTGATATTATGGGATATGGCAAAAGCATTTCTAAGAGGAAAGTTTATAGCTATAAAGAGAAAAGATCTCAAATAAACAACCGAACCTTCCACCTGAAGGAACTGGAAAAAGAAGAGTAAACTAAGCTCAAAATTAATAGAAGGAAGGAAATAATGATTAGAGCAGAAATAAAGAATAGGGAAAAAATAGAAATGATCAGCAAAACGAAGAACTGGTTTTTGAAAAGATAAAACAAAATTGAAAATCCTTCGCTAGATTAACCAAGAAAAAAACTCAAATAAATAATATTATAAGTGAAAGAGGACTCATTACAACTGACACCGCAGAAACACAAAGGTTTATAAGAGACTACCATTTATAATTATATGCCAACGAATTGGACAACCTAAGAAAAATGGATAAATTTCTAGAAACATACAACCTATCAAGACTGGATTATGAAGAAATAGAAAATCTGAACAGACCAATTGCAAGTAGGGAGATTGAATTAGTAATCAAAAACCTCCCAACAACAGTTGAGGAGCAGACAGCTTCACTGGGAATTCTACCAAACGTTTAAAGAGGAATTAACACTGATCCTTCTCAAACTTCCAAAAATATAGAAGAGGAGGGAACACTTCCAAACTTATTACGAGGCCAGCATTATCCTGATATCAAAACCAGACAAGGACACTACAAGAAAAGAAAATTACAGGCTACTATCCTTGATGAATGTAGATGCAGAAAGTTTCAACAACGTATTAGCAAATTGAATCCAACAATACATTAAAAGGACCACACTCCAGGATCAAGTGGAATTTATTCTAGGGATGCAAGGATGGTTCAAATCCACAAATCAATCAGTGTGATACACCATATTAACATAATGAAAGATAAAAATCATGTGATTGTCTCAGTAGACGCAGAAAAAGCACTTGACAAAATTCAACATCCATTCATGATAAAAACTCTCAACAAAGTGGATATAGAGGGAACATACCTTGACATAATAAAGACCATATATGACAAGTCCATAGCTAACATCATACTCCATGGTGAAAAGCTGAAAGCTTTTCCTTTTAGGATCAGGAACAAGACAAAAACGCCTATTCTTGCCACTTTTATTCAACATAGTACAGGAAGTCCTAGCCTGAGCAGTTAGTCAAGAAAAATAAATAAAAACATTAAATTGGAAAGGAAGAATTAAAAGTGTGACTATTTACAGATGACATGATATTATATACAGAAAACTCTTAGACTCCACCAAAAATCTGTTAGAACTAAATGAATTCAGTAAAGTTGCAGGATACAAAATCA